CCGGTAGAGATACCCCCTCTGTCCTAAGCAGGCTGAGACACTCTGTGTTTGTTTTTGTAGCCTTACACAGGAAAAAAAGACTAGTTATTGTGAGAAACGTGCCATATGTTATTGCATATGGCTGAAACATCTGCATATGTAACCAAGGATCTGATATATGTGATGAGTTTCTGTTACAAATCTAACAGTGAAGGAGTTATCTTTTGGAAATTTTTTATTCATTTTTTTTAAACTATCTCTAAGGCTCTTTGAGGGAAGTCAACCTTGGCTTCATCTTCATGGGATTTCATAAAACCTACAGGGACCAGTACACATAGACTGTACAGATGTTTTCACACCTTCAATCATGCTTTTTGTCCCTCGGTGCTTCCTATGACTCATAAAAGTAGTACAAGATAAAGAAATCACGATGTACTGCGCATCCAGTGGTGGCACTGTTAAGGTAAAGAATTTAATAGAGTTACAAAAATAAGCTGGACAACAACAAAATCTGTAGTTATAGCAGTTCAGATGAAATGGGATAAAGAAAACTGCTCTCATGCTTACAGATGTCACTGATAGCCCAGCTGACTAGTTAACCCAAAACATCCAAGACCAGTGGTCACAGGAGATCTGTTCATTGTGTATGTAAATCCTTCTATTTTCCCCAAAGCTACAGTGTCTTTATCAAGAAGGAGCTTATAAAACACTGGTTTTGTGTTGTGTTCATACAGCACCCAGCACAAGGGAATCTCCTGTTCTGGCAAAAGTTGTTAGACTAGAATGGTTAGTAAAAATACGACATATCAGGAAATAAACTGATATTTGTCTAATTTCCCACTAAGCTAGGGAGATGCCATGGGGATCTGAGGGATAAAGTGCTTCTCCTGGCTGGAGAGATAGATGGAGCTTTTCATGTGAAAGCAAAAAGTTCCTGCTCATTCAGTTGTATTTGTGGTGCAAAATTCTCAATCACATGTAAATTCCCCTGAACTTTTAAGTCAGAAGTCATAGATTCACGGAATTGTTTAGATTGGAAAAGAGCTCTAGGATGATTGAGCCCAACTCTTAACCCAGCATTGCCACACTCATCACTAAACCATGTCCCTAAGTGCCACATCCCCAAGTCTGTGGATCTTGGTTGTTTCCACCTTTCAGGAGCAGCTTTGTGGGTTTTAATCCCTTAAACTTGCGGGGTTTGTACTTGCTCCAGGGAAGTGCCTGCTGTGCTGTGGGCTCAGCCGGGCAAAGGGGTGGCAAGGAGACTGGGGGAATTGCCAGGCACTTCTGAAGTACTCCACTCATACAAGTCCCTGCCCATCAAAGAGTTGCCTGCCCATCCAGGCATCGCTCACAAACCTCTCCAAATAACTGCATAGTTTCAAGACAGCTATAATTGGGTGTAATAAATGCTATCATAATGAAATCTCCTCATAATGGGAATACTTGCTCCTTAATTCAGTATTAAAATGATCTATTTCAATATTGAATCAACACTTTAGAAAAATCAATGAAAAATACATTGTAAAGCTATCTGATTTGTGGATGATCTTGAGTGAAAACCATTGATAAATGAGAGAAAAGACCCCAGACTGAAGCACTGTGCTTCAAAATAACACAAAGTAAGAAATAATATATCATCAGTTTATTCAGTATTGCTTCCAACCTGCTCTTATATGTCAGAGATATGAGAACATATGATTCCTACAGAAGGTTTCTTGGATGGCAAAAATTCCTAGATACTACTTGAATTATGTTCCAATAGCTCAGCATTTGTGGAAGGTGTCATCTAATTAAACCAGAATTTTAAAGTACCAGACAGCATGAAGACCAGTAATAAGAGAGCAAGATCCATCTGTATTACAGATGGGATGTGCAACTCTAATAGTATGGCTTCAGGCAATGTTTAATTGAGTAGTTAAATTATCTTTTCCAGACGGGAAAATAAATTACTGCTCATCTCTCCAATTTATTTTAGCTTCTCCACATTCTGTTTCCTGAGGGAGTGCTGAGGGAGTATGGGACATCCCCAGATATGCCTGGGATGATTTATTCTCCCCATGCACCATAATTCCCCCTTCAAGGAGGATGTCTTGTATGCATGTGGAAGTCGGTGTGTACGTAACTGGCTCTATTCTCCTCTTTTCTTGCAAGGAATATCTGCTTAATCACTGTGGTGCTAATCACAGCTATAGGTTACGTGTGTGTGTGGTTTTATACATACTCTTTTTGAAAATGCAGGAGAGAAAATTACTGGTTCAGCATCCTTCAGTCAAATCAGGAGCGCGTGTCTCGTTGGAGCTGCGCAGTTTGCCCAAGAAGCTTTCCCAAGCTTTGTGACACTCTGAAAATCTTCACTTTGACTCACAGCATTTTGTAGTGTGGGATTATTTAGGGGAATTGTGTCAAATTCCAGACTATTATTCCTCAGTTGCCCAAACTCAGTCAAATGCATGATACTCTGTGTGGTACGTGGGAGCAGAACTTAAAATGCTGGAAATTTTCAGTTAATTAAGTATTGGATCCACAGGATTACAGATCTCCAGTTGGATGAACACTCTCCATGGTCAAGGGTCTGCATATGAGAGTAGCTACATGAGTGTGTGCTAACTCCTGTTTATGCTGGCTACAGGGGCACAGCTGGTATTCAAACTGGGATGAAATCTTCTGCTCCAAAGTCACTCCTTGGAAAGCCTTGAGCAGATTTGAGTTGGCTGGTTGGGTTGGTACCTGGCCACTGGGTTGTGTTGTGTGACTGGGGTGTTTTTGATTGAGCTAAAAACAAATGTCTCACATCTTGCAGAACCACAGCCTGAATCCCCCATGATTTCTGAATATTTGTGAATGTAATAACAGACCTCTGTGTGTGGCAGACAGCTAGACGCAGTCTGCCCACTTCCAAACAAAGTGAAAGCAAGTCATGACTTGCTTTCCAGTTGGCCACATCCCAGCCATAGGTCTTGATGGTGGTCTAGATGAGATAACCATGTTCTCTTTGTGTGGCCTTAAATTCTGCCAAAATTCTGGGGGACAGAGGGTGAAGTAGTTTTTAAAGCACTTAGGGAGGAAAGGGTCTGTAGTAGTGCAGCAACAAGGGCACAGCTCCCTGGGACAGAACGGGTTCATCTGCTAAAGGGAATATCCCTCTGCAAGCCCCAGTATTTTGGGAGCTGGGAGTTACATAGCCCTTCCACCTGGGATGGAAAGGATGGGTGTCCCTACAATGACAATTTAATTTTTAAAAGGAGGGAGCACAGGAACTTTCTGCCTGGAACATAAATTTAGTACACATAGTTTCTGAAAGGACTTTACTAGCCAACTTCTTTTCGATAAGCCTCTATCTCCTAGACCAGTCTAAGTTAGGCCTTTCAAGCAGACAGCCCTGAGGCACTGCTCTGTGTCAGGATCAGGACTTTAAGGGTGTCTGGCACAGTAAGGATGCAAAGCTTGTTCTGCACTCAGGATTATATATAGGAAGGAAAGTATGCTTCCTCAAACTGCTTGCTGCTCTGCAGCTGTGTGTACCCTTTCAGAGGTTATTATAACCCAGAAGGAGCACTGAATTTGCACTTACACTGCTGCTGGCACCTCAACTAGTTCATTGAGAAATAGCACTCACGCTCCTGCTGCGGTGTGATGACTATTCCAGGGTCACCATGATCCTTGAGTCTCAACATCTCAAAGTATGCAAAGTATATCTGTCTTCAAGGGAAACTAGTTGCTATTTGTGATTCAGACAGGGTTCAGCTCCTTGGGCTGCTCAAGGAGAAGATGAGTGAAGGTCGCGGACCTTTGTGCTGGTGCTGATGGCCACCCTGGGGCTCCCTGCAGGGCATGGCCAGGCCTCCTGGGCTCCACCGACCTCCTGTCACTCTGCAGGAGCCATGCTTGAAGGGATTGGTGCACTGCACATCAACCCAGACAGGCACTGGCCCAAGTATGGGGCATGTGCAGCTCTCCAAGGGGAGAATGCCAGACATGAAGCAGCTGGCTGAGGCTCCTGTGACACTACCACACAGTCAGGGTGCTTGCAGCTGAGCCTTCCCCACTGCTGCAGTGACTTTTTCCACATGGAGCATCACTAGTTGTCTTTGAATACCTGAATCTGTCTTCTGTCAGTTGTGCCCAGTACCAAAACCAACTGCACAGTGCTGAGTTGCTGTTTGCTGCCCGGCCACCCAATCCATCCACTTCCCACTGGCTGGGGGTTTGACCCTCCTCTGAGCCCACTAATCTTGGGTGATGACCTAGAGTTTCTCAGGGCCAAAACACCACCAAAAAAAGCAGTGTGCCTTTTTAGTAGGTCCACACCCAGGGCATTGCTTCTCTGTGCCTGCTCCTCACTGTCCCCAGTTTAGTTCTGGCACCCCAACTTTAGCTCTTCTTGTCACCGTGCTGTCTCACACCCCAAGTGAGAACGAGAGCGATGCTTCAGTTCACACCCCCTGCCTTGTGAGTGACCCTTCAAAGAAATCCATATAGCGACACAAGTGATTTTTATTGAGTCGTAGGACTGTATTTTATGCTCTGAAGGAGCATTTACTTCATATAAAGGCTTTGACGTTTTTATAGAAGTGGCTATAACTGTGTTATTTCATACAAAGAAGAATTTATTAAGCCTGGATCTGAATCTCCTTTTTATGTTATGCAAACGACTAATAACAACCCTTCTTCATTACCAGCTCAGTGCTCGGGCCAGGGCTATTAAATCCCCCCTTCCTTCAGTCTGCATCTATCAGGCTGCCACATTAGGTTGCAACATCATCAGAATTCATAAAACCAGCCCAGACTTGTACTGGGATTCGAGGCAGCAAAATTAAAACCTGAGTTGCAGAACACAGTGTTTCTTTGGCTGTTGTTGAGGTATTTGGGGGCACGGTGTGTTGACTGAGGCATGACAACACCTTCATCACTTGTGATTATAAAAAATTTCACAATCACCATATAGTAAGGAAAAAAATAAAAGTTCATTTCTCTTAGAGTTCTGCTCAGATTATACATCCTGCTTTTTGTATTTTCAGGAGTGGTTTCCACTGTGTACCATCCAGACGTGCAATCTTCCTCTCCAACACTGCTACTCCTTTCTCTGCTCTTGTCCTGGAGGTGGCTACAGGGGAGGGTATGTGACACTTGGAAGGGCTACTGGGATGTGCCTGGGAAGACTCCACTGCATTCTGGGTGATCTTTAGACCTTCACACTTGTAAGACTAATCTCAGTTCTCTGAAAAATCTTTCAGTGGGTTGGAGATTTGCTTGGGGATTGTGTGATACACTAGAAGTTTAAAAGCAATAAGGACTTTACCTCACGTAAAGTCAACAGAACAGAAAAGTGCTTGAGAGAATAGCCATCCTGGGCTCATCTGTGGCTGGATATTTGGAGACAGTCCCCCAGGAGTCAGGCGTGAATTGAACTTAAACGGTCTATCCCGAAAGAAAAGCCCATGTCTCCTCAGTCTGGGATGACCACCCCACCCCTGTCTGGGTAAATGAGCTGAGGACAAGAGTTGTTTCTCTGGCTTCTTTCTGTTCTGAAAATACAGCTGAATTGAGTCCTGTAGGTGAGAAAAGCAGAGGAAGACCTTTTTTTGTGGATGTGGATAGGATTTTGTGTGGGCTAAACACCAACTGTTCAGCATCTTTTGTGGATGGATCCAGCCCAACTGATCTGAAGTGGCATGTGCTGAGCAAAAAAATACATATCTGAGGGAGTTTCTGGCCATCATCTTATGGAAGAAAGGGAGAAGAAAAAGGCATTCCTGTGAGTTTCATTTTCTTAGCAGGGGAAAGTCAGTGCTCTTGCTAGAGCAATTCCAGGAGCTGTAATTATGCTTTTGTGTATCAAAGGAGAAGGGTGTTTACACCCGACCTCGTCTCTGGGTAGATGAGATGTTCTGTCTTGGGAAATTGTCACCTTCAGGCTGGCTGCTCTCACACAGCTAATGCAGAGCACAATTTTCCCCTGCAGTGTAGTTGTAGCAACCTGCCAATGTTCACCCAAGGCAACACCAGTTTTCCCTGCTTTCATGGCCTGTAGGTCAGACTCTGGCCTGACAGAGAGTGCTAATGCAGATTCTTCAGAGCTCAGTCTGTGACTTCCATTATATAGCATTAACTCCATAAAAAAAGAAATGTGTTAGTATTCCAGCAAAACACAGACATAATTTAGATACAGGATAATTACCTGTAGTGAAGCTTGGATTGATGTGAGCATCAATCTGCTCTTTCTGAATTCATGTCCAGCCTTTCATTGGCACTCCTGGGCATGCCCCAGGTCTGTTGCAGAAATGGTTGTGCCAAACACCCACGGTCCCAGTGCAAGGACAGCCATGGACTGGGGGCTCTGCTGGCAGCTGGGTCCTCAAAGGTGCTGCTGTGGTTTGGGTAAGATACCCAAACACAGGGTTTGGGTATCTTACAGTTCACTGATGAGCAGAGCAGGTAAGGAAGACAAAGCTTCAGTCTAAAAATGAAAAATAGATGCCGGATTATAAAATATTATGCAATTAAATGAACATATTTTTTCCCATGTAATAGCCAGAAATAAACTTCTTTGATTATGGCTCAGCTACCTTTCCCCCTCTACTAAAATAATTTCGGAAAAGTGCAGCCTGTTTCTAGAAACAGCTTTAAAACAGGGGGTTTAATGAAACAGAGTTAGACAAAACCCCAGACCCAGTCATCCTTCCTACCCAGGGCTGCCAGACGTTCACGGCCCCCCAAGCCTGATCTGGGGGCTCAGCACAGCGATGCTGAGCAGAGGAACCCGCAGCCCGGGGGGTCGCGGACACGGGTGGGTGGGTGGGATGGTGCCGGGTGGGCTCCTCGGCGGCGGGTGCTCATTCCCTGCTGCGCAGCTCCATCTAGGGGCTGCTGCCTGCCCGGGACCCGGGAGCAGCCGGAGCCCAGCATCTCCCGGGCAGGATTCCGGGAAAGGGTTGCTCCGGGAAGGGGAATGCCGTGGCTGCAGGAGCCCCAGAGTGTGCCAGCTCCGGAGCTGCCTCCAGCCCTGCTCGGGGGTACGGGAGCGAGAAGGATTTTGTTATCTAACGTGCTGCAGCCCTGGCATCGGCAGGATTTGAGCCTGGGAAGCACAAACAGGATGCAGTGATTTGGACAGGCAGAGGTGACTTCTCTTTGCAATGGCACTGGATACATTGCTCAGGCTCTTAGAAGCAACCCCTCTTTCCATCAGGTCTCTTCTCAAGCCTAATCTATATAAATTTCTTCACTAAAAGGGTGGTCAAGCATTAGAAAAGGCTCCCCAGGCAAGTGGTAGAATCATCATCCCTGGAAGTGTTCAAAAAACCTGTGGATGTGGTGCTTGTGAACAGGGTTCAGTTGTGGACCTGTCACTGTTATGCTAATGATTGGACTCGATGATCTTGGAGGGGAAGTTTCTGGTATGGTTTTCTTTGTTGTACTATGTAGAAAGGACTTTAATGAGGACCAGGTCTGAGGTTCTCTGAGGAGAACCTTGTTTTTCAGCTCCTCAGGAAGCTCTGTATCCCTCATGTCCCATGAAGCTGCTCGGGGGGGGAGGAAAACAGATGATTATCAATGTTGGGCTCTGGGGAGGAATGGGACATTTGAGCCTTTACAGGTGCCAGGAAGGGAAAGAAAAAGCAAACCCATGGCATTATGCATTTCCCTTTATAGGAGAAATAAACCCTAAAAATGTGCAGATTCTGAATGTCTAATGTAGGGAAAGGGCTGGGGAAGTCCAACTGTGAGCCAAGTCACTCTGCTCCAGGCTTACTGGAGAGCTGGTGGGTGGTAATATGACCAAGGACTAATTGCCTTCAAATAATTGGAAAACCAGCTCCAGAGCAGCTACAGCTGACAGGGAACCTGCTAGCTCTATCTGAAGCAGCGAGAGCCTGCACATAAAGTCAAGATTCGTAAGGATTTGCTAGTTAATGTTGCCAGAGGAAAAATCGCAGTTATGCCATAGCAGTGAAAGGAACACCCTAATCCTTAACTGAGTTTACTGACAACCACAGTTACATCACACTTATCCATTTTTCAGTGTATTAGGTTAATTTTGAGGGGGTCCTTCTAAACTGAAGAAGAATTGGCCAGAAAATAGGACCTTTTCTCTTCTGTATGCAACAGTCACCACGTCTTAACATAAGGTTTCATTAAAGGCCAAATTCCTATCAGTCTCAGCAGAAAGAGTAACAAGCAAAGGAAAGACCAGCAAGCCAAAACACCTTGTTGCAAGAAAGAGGCAGGGAGATTGAATGAAATGTGATTATTTGTTTAGAAAGTAATTGCTTTATCATTAGTAGATGTCAGTGAAACAGAAACATTCATCACCAGCCTGGAGCTACCACTGAGCTAATGTTCACATTCCCATGCCCTGTACGCCATGTACTGAGTGCGCTGTTCGCTGCAGCCAGATCAGTTGTGGATGAAGGAGAGAAAGGGTATAGCAGTCCTTTGGTGTCCTGGTGAAAGGCCTGACAAGGTAAAGGGGTGTTTTCTTGTTTTCACATAGGTAGCAGAAGTGTGTGCCTGTCATGGGGCAGAGACATGAGGTAATGGAAAGTTACGACAGTGGAAAGCAAATAGAATCCTGCCCAAGCTCCTGCACCTCCAGGTCCTCTAAGTCTCCCTGTTCTTCAGCAGCTTGTCAAAACACACAGGTCTCTACATGCAAAACAATTACAGAGGAGCACTGATGTGTTTGCCTGTGTGCTGAAAAGACTAGAGGTAATGAGAAGCCTTCACCTGAAAGGAGGGGCCATCATGTCGAAAGGAAAGGTTGAGAAATACTGGCCTCTGCAGCACACAGGGTGCTTTACCCCCTTCACATCTCCCCATGACTGCATCCTGTCCAGCCAAGGTCTGTGGAGCATGGTCCTTCACTGCCTGCTGGAGAGCTGCTCCAAAGATCCCTATCTGTCTCTGTGTTCACCAAGGGGTCTCCAGTGGCAGGCTTGAGTATTTTGTTTTTTCTGTGCTACTGTATGTAGAAAATCAGAAGAAATTAAGTCTAAATCCTGACACCCTCTGAGAGCTTAAGCTGTTTCCCAACGTGAGTTTTAAAGGCTGTGACTCGTGTCCCTGGTGAGGTCTCGGAGGAGTTGTGGTGGCTCCACATGTCTAGGGAGAGGATCACCAGTTCTGGTGTGCAGAGGAAGTGGTGACTTTCTCCCCTCTTTTTGATATCTCCAGAGCTCCAGATTTTCATATCCCATACCTCTTCTGCGGTTAAAAAACAAACAGACACATATTTGCATTTTTGAGGTGTAGAAACAAACCATCCTCATAGATATTTGACTGCACAGTTGTGCAGTGACACATTCTGTGCTTGCCTTTTTCCTGGAGCAGAGCGAGCATGTGTGCTTTGGTTTAGACAAAGCATTTCACTGAGAGACTTCACTGAGAGCAAGGACATGCTGTTGATTCACTCTGCAGCATCTCCTGGTGACTTGCTCCTCCTTGTGCCTAACAGGAAAGCTGGGTAAAGAGAATAGCCTGACTTGCACCTCTCCATCCTTCTTGGTGGAGAAAATATGAAGTGTCCTACTCAGTAAATTAAATACATGCATTCATGGTGCCTTTGAGAAGTGTTCATTCACCTGAAAGCTGAACTCAGGCTCTGGCTGGATTTATAAATGTCTTTTGGGTGAGTACAGGATCCAAACAAATAACTCCTGTCTCTGTAGCTGACCTTGGAGAATTTTATTAGCTAATTAAGGTGCCAAATGCAAAGGACAGAACTGAAGCCACAGTGTCAGTTAACATTTAGTTACTCTGTTAATTGAGTTGAGGAAATCTGGATTACATCATAAGCTGCTGGCATCCTGTATGGCTATTAGAATATTACAGTTCATTTTACTGGGGAATGCAAATAGCATCACTGTCATACTGAAGGATGGCTTAGCATGTAACAGGATGGTGGAAAAGCTTGTAATTTTATAAAAGTTTATAAATTTTGGTGTGTGGATGGCCTAGTGAGCTGGATCTCTGCAATGCTTTCCAGGACACAGGATGAACAGGGACTATTTTTTGTGTCATTGCAATGAAAATAACATAGAGATTCTCTGGAGCAGGGAGAAGGGAAAGCAATTTTCATGTAATTGATGTTGTGAAGCTTATCAGAAATTCTTCACT